ACAAATTTGCCTTCTTGGATTTTTAGACAAAGGCCATAGATTTATGCCTAAAATGTTAAAGTCAGCATGGAGAAATCTTTTTAAGTATTAACTAATAATTCTGTGGTTGTGTGTTCTGTTTGTGTGTTTTTGTTGGTTTGTTTCTGGCTAGCTCATCAGAGTTGTAACAAGCTCAATTAAAGTGCAAGGAATCCTGTCTTATGCCTGTGTCATACTCTTCTATTTTGGGTAAGATTATTCTTGAATATGTTTTTGGCTATATAGTAAAGCATAAATGCAAGATGTAATGGAAGTTAATAGCATCTCAATCATACTACTCCCAATCTATGCCGGGGGCTTCCTTTCAATAGCTATACCTCCCAGTGTATTTATTTGTGACTCGGTTAGATTAACTACACTGCTATTTGGTAGTAGTATTAATAGTACTTTAGATTTTATTTTAATTTTTAGCAAAATCTTAAAGCCCTTTTTGCTTAAGATTTAGGTTTCACTCACATTTTTTTGATGAATAAAAGCCTGCCATTGCAGACATGTTTTCATATTTAAAAACATCTTTGACCCTCCAGTATGTTTGCCACATTGAATTGTTCAGCACACTGTAGGCGGGCATCACATAAAACCAAATGTAATGCACAAGCGTAGGTTTTCTGTGACCAGTGGAATCCATCTGCAGGTTTGTTGGTCTCATGATCTTACATTTTAGTTGGGGGAGACATACAGTAAATTATCAACTAACTAAGATAGAAATAAATGGTATGAAGAAAATAACAATATAAAATGATGATTTTGCCATTGTTACTTTTCTCAAGAAGTGAACAATGATAAAGTAACCAGACCTGGCATTCAATTAACTTACTGAAAAATGAAATGGAAAACCTGTTCCACCCTCACTTAGGTGGTGTGCGTCAGGAGCTTCACTCAGGGAGGGGTGGGTGGTCTGAGAGGGGTCGAACTTTAACCCTCCAGAGGAGAAAGGTTGGAGGGTAAGCATACAGTCACAGTTTGAGCAGTGGATTTGCTTAGTGTTCCAGTTTCATGGCTTTTTTAGTGTGTTTTTCACATTGTTTCCTGCCCAGGGCTTAGCACACTACCTGGCACGTGCTCAGGAAGCTTCTGTTGAAGTAGCATTGGAATAGTCACTTACTGTCTGCACTTTCCACCTCTCCACCAAGTATCCTGAGTCATGGGCCTGCTTCCCAGCTCCTGCGGTGCCTGGCTCAGGCCGGTGTCCTGCAGAGCTGCATGTAGGTCATTTCAGTGTTTCACACACGAGGGTGAGGTTCTGATCACACTGTACAGCATTGCCTATTTTTTGTTTGAATGAGTATATAAATAGTTTACTATATTAAGGTAACTCTTTTCATTTTTTGACATTAAATAACATTAAGACCTTCCTTTTCTAATGTAGAGTCTCACACCGCACCTCAGCGTTTTTAACATTGTGCTGTGCTTACCAAGTGGTATTGCTGTAATCTCAGTGGGAATAATTGTTTGACAATCTAATATTCTAGTATTTTTTACATAATAATCACGAAATGAAGCATGTATATGCTACATCTGAAAACCTTTGTTTAGTTACAGTTGCCTGTGCATAGTTCACCAAGGGGGATGTACTTTGATCTTGAGTTACTTAGAATTCAGGGTACCTGTGCCCCCAGCCTCCAGTGTCGCCTCCCTCCCCATGTTGCTTCACTTCTGCACCTGGATAGCACAGCCAGACAGATCTGCTCACTTTTCTACTTTATTCATCTACTCTAATCCTCATCTCAGGATAATTCCTAAATTATCCTCTTCTCCTTCAGAAACTTTCTCAAAACTACCTTGTCCATGCCTTCTTTATCAATTAACTGCACCAAACCCAAGAATCTGTCTTCGGTTAAAAAAGTAAAATCAGAATTCAGTTGGGCCTCCTGACATAAAATGCTGAGGCTTTTCCCCACTACACTCAGTTTATCGTCTTTCCCTCCAGACTCACTCTTGCCAGCTAAAGTGGGAGGACTTGCCAGCCTCTGCCATTACTGCTCTGCTCAACGCTCCTCAGGGAGCAGCTGCTCAGCAGCAGGGCCTGGGCCTGGGCTGGTCTAGGGCTTGGCCAAAAAGAAGCCAGACAAGTGCCCTGCCTTGGTGTCACAGAAATTCCAGACAACAAATAGACAACAACTAGAAAAGCAAGTCACTCTATTGACAGTTGGTAGGAATCGTTAGGAAGAAAAGCACAATAGTATGAGGAGATGAATGGGAGAGGCAGACGCAGCCACCTTAGAGAGGGTGGCCAGGGCAGGCCTCTCTGGTCAGCTGGTGTTTCAGTAAGGAAGGGAGCTGTGCAGCCGCCTGGGAAAAGCATAGGCTTAGCAGAAGGGCACAGGGACACAGGCCTGGTGGAGGAATAGCAGGCGCCAGGCAGCTACAGTAGTCCATGGGCAGTCATGGGGGCAGAGGGCCCAGGAAGAGGAGACCACGAAAGGAGCTGAGCAGAAAATGGCATGGTGGCTCATGCCTGTAGCCCCAGCACTTTGGGAGGCTGGGGTGGGAGGATTGCTTGAGCCCAAGAGTTTGAGACCAACCTGGGCAACATAGCAAGACCCCAGATCTACAAAAAAGAAAATTAGCTGGGCGTGGTGGCATATGCCTGTG